GTTGCTCAATGGAGTGAGAGGAACTGGAACATTTTAATGGTTGTTATTCTGTCAGCTCTCTGACCACCTTTAGTGAGCCAGTGGGAGAGGCAATTTTTAATTTGTGAAATGGAAATTTATTTCAATTAGTTATGGCTTGTTTAAGATATAACATTTGAAAATATTTATACTAAGTCCAAAATAGACACCCAATACACACATACTCAACCTTTTCACTTCCAATTTTCAATTTTTAAAAATATGGATTGGATTTTCAGGATATAAAAGAAATAACTGGCATTACTAGGAAATTCCCTAGCTTGGGCTTTTTAACTTAGCATAGGTACAGACAGCACTTCTGGGACTACTTAATGTATATTTAATATTCACTTTTAGCCGGGACTGGTTTGGCTCAGTGGATAGAGCGTCGGACTACGGACTGAAAGGTCCCAGGGTCGATTCCGGTCAAGGGCATGTACCTGGGTTGCGGGCACAGCCCCAGTGGGAGATGTGCAGGAGGCAGCTGATCGATGTTTCTCTCTCTCGTCGATGTTTCTAACTCTCTATCTCTCTCCCTTCCTCTCTGTAAAAAATCAATAAAATATATTTAAAAAAAAAAATATTCACTTTTATGGTAGCCCTACATTCAATCCCATCTTCTGATTGCCAGCCAAAGGGCTGGTAGGTCAGCACCATGGACAGAGAAAAAAAGGCAAAATATTGCCTTTTATATTTTGCTAGATTTTTTCCTAATGTTTAATGTTTTCAATTGCAGTTTACATTTGAGATTATTTTGTATTAATTTCAGGTGTACAGCATAGTGGTTAGACAATCACATACATTACAAAGTGATCCCCCTAATATTTCAAATACCTACCTGGCACCTAGAGTGTATGATGCTAAGTGAAATGTTAGGCAAAGAAAGACAAATACTATATGATTTCACTTACATGTAGAATCAAAAGGTCACACTTAATGCTGCTTGTCAAATGACAGCTGTGATAGCAGATGTGTTACCAAGGACAGACTGGCCTGAATGTTCCTCTGGGACCGTGGGAAGAGAGTACCTCTGGGTCTGGGTCAGATCAGAGGATGGGGTCTTAAGAAAATAACCACTCCTCCAAGATGTCTCCAAGTAGCATGATCGCCTTCATTTATTGGCCTATATTGGTTCACCTTTTTTAAAAAATATATTTTATTGATTTTTTACAGAGAGGAAGGGATAGAGAGTTAGAAACATCAATGAGAGAGAAGCATCAATCAGCTGCCTCCTGCACACTCCCCACTGGGGATGTGCCCACAACCAAAGTACATGCCCTTGACCGGAATCGAACCTGGGACCCTTTAGTCCGTAGGCCAACGCTCTATCCACTGAGCCAAACCGGTCAGGGCTTGGTTCACCTTTTTCAACCATCTGCTTTTCTGTTCCCGAGGCACCAACATTTTCACACTGAAGTAACTGTAAACGTCTACCTAGAAAATGTGGAGAAAATTTGTTCTTTTTACCTGCCTACCACCTATGATCCTTTTTGCCTTTGCAAACTACTTTTCAAACAAATAAGCTGTTTAAAAAATTCAGAGGAATTTTTTATGCTTTTAAGAGGGTTTATATTGAAGTTTTATTTTAAATGGGAGTTCCTGTCTTTTAGCAATAGATTCTGATAGTTAAAATAAAGTAATATGATGTCTGGGACTTGTTTCAAAATAATCCAGGATCAGGGGAGTAGGTAGACACAGAGAGAAGACAAGATTGGCCATGAGTTGCTAATTGTTAAAGCTGGATGATAAGAACGTGAAAATTCTACTTTATGTTTGAAATTTTCCATTAAAATATGCGTATATGTGTGTGTGCACATGTGCTCTGAGAGGCCACACACACACACACACACACACACACACACAGATTCCTGAAGCTCTTATGACCCTGCACCTAAGAGAGAATGAAGAGCAGGCTCTACTACCTCGGCTCCAAGAGCAGCCTAAAGAGGCAAGGTTACAATTGTCCTGTGAAGATCTGAGGGTCTGTCTTGCTCAAGTCTACATGATGAACAGGAAGTGCAGGTGTCTAGGCGTGATCACTTTCTCTGGAGCAAGATGTCTTAGGAGAGAAGTTTCTAGGAAATGAAACCTTTCATGTACCTCCCTGACAAACAGAAGCCGAGGTTAGCCTGGAGTGGCAGGGCTGAGGCTGAGTGTAAGGAGGGGGTGCCTCATTTGTGATGATGGATCCACGGTCAATACCTAAGGTTCCAGGTAAAAAAAAAAACAAAAAAAATTTTAATATAAAATGGGCTAGATAAGCAGAGGGAACCAAGATGTGACGCCAAGAATATCAGGATGGAGAGGAACTAAAATATGAAGAGAGTGGAGAAGTACAAAAGGAAGGCAGGTAAATACTTCGGGGTGGGGAGACGGTTAGGATCTTTTCATGCAGCAGCCGTGTCAGAAGCAAATAAGGAGCTGTCGGAAGCTTATGGATAAAATTTTAAAATGAAAGTAAAAGTGCTTCAAAACCTGTGAAACTGCACACACAGGAAAAACTGTTCAGACGCTATGGACAGAAGATGAGGTTTGGGGGTTGAATGCTAATTATGTGTGAGGCACTGCTCTGAGCACCTGGAATATATGGTGAAAAAGAAAAGAAACCTGCAACATTGAGCAACGTTCTAGCGGAAGGGATAAATGTAGTTGCCGATTACTTAAAAATGTGATAATTTTGCCTGGCTGTTTCATTTACACAGAAAGTGTGTCCTCCAGTCTGCCCCAGTCCCCACCACCCCCTATTGTTTTACCCTTTACCTACTTCACTAAATTTGTTATCTGCCTGAGCCCCCGGGCTTTTCAGTTTGTGACCCCTGGTCTCCAAAGTCCCTGGGCTGCTTGGACACTTGCTTTACTTAAAAACACTGAATGGCCCAAGGACTACATAAAAGACCCTATTCTTGGCTTAATCTGAAGTGACCCTGGCCAGGACCTATCACCTTGCTGAGATCTCCATGTCCTCACCCCTGGAGTGGAGGCATCCCACCTGCTCTGCTGGATTTCTGTGCGACTAGAATTGGCACAATCAGCTCTCCCTCCTGCTTTGGCTCTCCTCCCTGGCATTACTTCTTCAAAGGGCGCCTCCCAGACCTCCTGACCAGGCCAACCCTCCACAGTGCCAGGTTCTCAGCATCACGGTCACAGTTGCACGTGTAGGTTAGTTTGCTGGCTATGTGACTAATGCCTGCCTCTCCCACCAGCCTGGAAGCTCAGCAAGGCAGGATCCTGTTTGTACTCACACCCTGTCACCATGCCTGGCATAAAACAGGTGCTCAGCACACCTTAAAGGGGAAAAGAGCCCTCGCTGGTTTGGCTCAGTGGATAGAGCGTGGCCTGTGGACTGAAAGGTCCTGGGTTCATCCCAGTCAAGGGCATATGCCCTGGTTGTGGGCGTGATCCCCAGTAGGGAGTGTGTAGGAGGCAGCTGAACAATGATTCTCTCTCATCATAGATGTTTCTATCTCCCTCTCCTTTCCTCTCTGACATCAATAAAAGTATTTTTAAAAGGGGGGGAGGGGAATGAAAGACAAGAAAGCTGGGTAAGACCACCCTGGGCTGCAGGAGGTGCGCCCTAGCCTCAATCCGACCCTCCCTCCCCGAATGTCTATTGGATAGAGGCCCGCCCAGCCCCTGGGCTGCTAGAATGTGCACATACAGTTCAAACTAAGACTTTTCACTCTGACTTACACGCCTGAAACTAATACAATAGTGAACATCAACTCCAATCGGAAAAAAAATAAAAATATTTAAAGTCACTGCGCTTTGTTTTCCAATAGGCTCTCCTTCTGGAACGGGGAATTTTTGCTTTGCCCACTGATCTAGGCCTGGCATGTGGTCAACAAGAGAGGGCGGGGTAGGTGGGCACAGGATGGTCGGGGGCACAGGATGGTTGGGAGGTCCCACCGAAGCGGGGAGATGCTGGCAGCCCATCTGGCGCCACCGCCGGGAGGGGAGTGGGACCAGGTCCGGAGCTCAGGACAGGGGCCCCTCCCATCACGTCAAACCGCACGGTCAAACCACACCGACATGCTCGGAGCCTGGCCAGAACCCCCGGCCAAGGGGCGGCCAGGTGGCATGCTGCTCTGCGGGTGGTGCTGACCCTCGCAGGTGCTGCTGCAGGACAAGACCGAGGTCGCCGCCAGCACGTGGCCGAGGCGGGAGGAACAGCACCCTCAGCTGCCCC